CATAGGTAGATAGGAGGTAGACCCACTTATTCTTGTATCAGGTAAGCCTTTAACTGTGTTAGTCTCTGGAGTTAGAAAGACAAGCGTCACCCTGGGGCAGAAAATTTATCTCCTATCTATGCAAATGTCACAGATGCTCGCAGGATTAGGTCCACTACAGAGGACACCGGAGCATAAAGTTGAGGCTTGTCAACTCTACCCCACCAGATACAACAGGAAAGGGAGGAAGTGGCTTGAATAGAGAGACTTGAAAGAGGATTGAGCATTCTCTAGGCCAGCAGTTCTCAACTTGTGGGTCACGACCCACAGGAACGGTATTAAAGGGCCACGGCATTAGGAAGGTTGAGAACCACTGCTCTAGGCAAACAGATGGGAAGGAGAATGGAACCTGTGATTGAGGGACCAGCTTTAGAAAAGGCAGAGGGGTTCTGAGGAAATGCTTGCAAGGTAGAGCTCAGCCTTTTGAAGCTGAGTGACATGTATCTTGCATGATGGAAGACATTGATGTGTTTTTGAGTGAGAAAGTGACAGTATTGGATATGCGTTTTTCGTACAAGTCAGAAAAAGTAAGTGCTATAATTAGAGGTACAAATCATGTCTAAGGAAACACAGAAAAGTCTTTGGAAAAAGTTTTCCCCCTGTATGTTATTTTTAAATTTAAAAATAGGTAATAGGTATATATTGAGAGAAACAGTGCAAGTCACTGAATTTGTCACCCACCCACCTGCCACTCCTTCTCAACTCCACTACTATTTTCAGTTTCTTTTGGATCCTTTTGCAGTTTCTTTGTATCTAGAAAATCATATAGGAAATATATTAAATGTATCCCCCCTTTTCATTAAAGAAAAGGCCTTGCCACAGGAGGTTCTTCCTCTGGCTTTTCTCACTTCCTCTGTCTTGGTGATCTTTCCACGTCTATCCTGAGGCTGCTTCCTCATACTTGTTCTCCGACCCTTTTTTTATTCCATTACATGAGTGTTCTTATTTAACTAGTTCCCTGCAGACAGATATCTAACTCGATTTCGTCTTCTCTAATTCCCAGCTATGCTACATGCACTGGCTGGTACAGCAGCATTGCGCACGTCTGCAAGTCTGTCTGGGGCACTTGGAATTCCTGGGCCAAGTGTACACGTATATGCATGTGAAGTTTACTGCACAACTGTCCCCCTTGAGGGTTTCTTATTTCTAATATTTTAATTCTCCAGGGTAGGAGCCTTATTAGGGGAGGGACTCTGTCTTATTCATGACTTTATTTTCCTAGCCCTACCTAGAAGTACTTAAAATAATCTATTGACTTAATTGCCACATGAAGGCATAGCTGGAGAAGGAATGAAGCTCAAGTCTTTCTTTTGAGACAGAGCCTCAAGCAGTCGCCCTGGGTAGAGTTTTGTGGCATCACAGCTCACAGCAACCTCCAGCTCCTGGGCTCAAGCGATTCTCCTGCCTCTGCCACCCAAGTAGCTGGGACCACAGGCGCCCGCCACAACAACTGGCTATTTTTTGGTTGCAGCCGTCGTTGTTTGGCGGGCCCAGGCTGGATTCGAACCTGCCAGCTCAGGTGTATGTGACTGGTACCTTAGCTGCTTGAGCCATAGGTGCTGGGCCGAAGCTCAAGTCCTTTGCAAGGGAGATAATTGTTAGTGAGATGTAACCAGCTTTTTTCATTCCCTTCCAAAAAAAAAATTGTCAGAACAAAGTAAAAACTCAGGCTGGAGGGTCTGCCTGGACCCTGAGAGCCAGGGACACTGTCACCATGTGCTTTAGAAAAGGCCGTTTATTACTAAACTTTAAGTATTAATTTCACCATCTTGTCTTTTCAGATGGTAAAATTACTTGAAGTCTTATTGGTTATTTCAGAAGTCTTATTTGTAATTTCAAAATTCTAAAGTCTGATTTATAATTTTAAGAAATTCTGATGAAAACAGCAGTGTTGGTTTTTTTTAAAGAATATTTTATGGTCCTTTAAAGCTATTATTTTGGTTTAAAGTTATTTTGAAAGCCTTTAATGTTTCTTTACAGATACAGCCTTCAAGCAATGCCAATGACAAAGCAGTGGGAACTAACTTCTTTCTTTTGTACTGAGGAGAGACTGAGTCATGGTTGGTCCTAGTGACTGGATCAGGTCACAGTTAGTCAGGGGCAGCAGGCCTTGGAACAGATGAGTATTTCTTACCACATCTGCCAATTACAAACACAATGCAATTATAAATATTCAGACTATTCAAAGCTTTTCTGAACAATTTCTTTTCTCTCTTCTAAATTTACCCCCAATTTTTTTTTTTTTTTTTGAGACAGAGCCTCAAGCTGTCACCCTGGGTAGAGTGCTGTTGCATCACAACTCACAGCAACCTCCAACTCCTGGGCTCAAGTAATTCTCCTGCCTCAGCCTCCCAAGTAGCTGGGACCACAGGCGCCCGCCACAACGCCTGGCTATTTTTGTTGCAGCCATCATTGTTGTTTGGTGGCCCGGGCTGGATTTGAACCCACCAGCTCAGGTGTATGTGGCTGGCGCCTTAGCCAGTTGAGCCACAGGTGCCGAGCCAATCTACCGAGCCAATCTACCCCAAATCTTATGTGGGCCTTAAAATAATTGGCTGAGACCAGAACACTTTCCTTTGACAGACTGGAGGACTTTAAAAGAATAAAAGCAAATTCAGTCTTTGCCAGGGTAGTGTTTCTCTCATAGAAAGTGCCTGCTTCAACGTGGAGTCCTCGGCACTCTTGTTCTTTATCCATAATTAATACAGTGTATATTTTGTGCAAAAGTAAACAGAAATCTGTAGGTCCCTTAAATTCTGTCCCGACAAATGTCCTTGATTCCTTCTCTACTCTGAATCTAGCTCAGAAGGTAGCTGGGCCTTTCTAAGTATAGTCAAATACAACAGTAACATTGCCCTTCAAAAGGTATTTATTTCTCAATAACCTATAAAATGAGGTGGAGCAGTCCTTATTAACTTCCATATGAGAATGGAGCTGACATCAACTCAACACAGACTTATTCATGTATTTTAAATTTACAAGGCTGTGCAGAAAATATCCAGCCACTCATGCCTCTATTTTTTCACATTATATGGCTAGATACTTTCTGGCTGGCCCTCATCTACTTAGGAGGCAATGGCACATTTTCTGTGGAAAAAGAATTAGCTCCTATCCTGTATCACCAAGAGCCTGTTAGGTTGGTCACAGCCATTCTAAGCCTCAGCGTCCTCAGCTGGTTAACTGAGAACATAAAATTTTTTGTTTAGATTTATTTTCTCAGCAACCACGATAACATATGCTTTGATAAAACTCCTACCTGTATTTCTGGGAGTCTCCAAACAGTAGATTGGTGCACAGATGTAAATATAGTTGTGAAATGAACAGTTTAGAAAAAAATTATTGGGAAGAGAGAAGGGAAGAACCAGGAGATACAGTGACAAGGCAATGGTACACATGACAGGGGGTTCTTTTATCTTTTTTTTTTTTTTTTGAAACATAGTCTGACTCTATTGCCCTGGATGGAGCGCCTTGACATTAGCCTAGCTCACAGCAACCTCAAACTCCTGGGCTCAAGCAATCCTCCTGCCTCAGCCTCCTGAGTAGCTAGGACTACAAGTATACCACAACACCCAACTCAGTTTTCTATTTTTAGTAGAGAAGTGTGTGTGGGGGGGGGATCTAAACTCTTGCTCAGGCTGGTCCAGAACACCTGAGCTCAAATGACACTCCTGCGTCAGCTTCCCAGAGCACTAGGATTACATTCTTAATCCACTGCTCAGCCAGAAGGTTGATCCCTGAAGTCTTTCAGAAGGTGGGAAACCTTTCCTTCTTTCCCAAACTGAAAATGAAGATATCAATCTCAGCCAAGTGCCTATTTAGAGGGTAGATCTGTTGACCTCATCCCTTCTGTCTTTTTCTCCCTTCCTCAGCAAAACCTTTAGGTCAAAAAGGTCCTTGGCAAAAAAATATTGGCAGCAACTTTAAACCTTTTGATCTGGTTTTTATTTTTTTTTATCTTTTTATTTTCTAGTCCTTACTATATGGCTTTTAGATATGGCTTCCTGTAATTTCTCTCTGAATTCTTTTGTGAGTTGGATATACCATCTTGTCGGTATGATGGGGCTATTTTACATGTTGATGCATTTAAATTTGAATTCCTTAGCTCATTTAAAAGCTTGGCTAAAAATTAAATAGAATTTATTCAAATGGCTTCTCTCAGAAGCACTCAGTCTGCCCTGTGTTCTTTAATTTTTCTCCCCCAATTTACACAATTTTCTATATTTGATATTTTCTAGTCATCAAATTCCTAAATTTAATAGGCTGAAGTGATTTAGGATTTGGAATTTTATTATAATTATTCGTAGCCAACAGAATTACTTATCTGAAAGATTCTAGCTGTTTCTCAGGCAAACGGAGGAATAGGGTCTATCTCAACCTGGGCAGGTCTGCTTTAACTCTGGCTTCAGCTGGTCAGGGCCATAAACATGTGGCCACAGGCCCCTTCAGCCCTATAGGAGGAGTCTGCAAAGTCACCTTCAGAAGGTTCTTTGGTAGGTTGCACCTTCTAATATCCTTCCTAGGAGGCTTTATTCGTAACACTTTCTGGCTTTTTCCAGAATAATTTGAAAATGTGAAAGCACCTCAATCTGAAAGTTTTAAAGCACTGACTTTTATAAATAGGCTTCAAAACGAGCAAGTGTAGCTGATTTTAATCATAAAAATACTATTACAGATGTGGAGTCGTTGATAAGGTTTTTAAAAAATTGTGGTTCACAGATAATTTCCACTTGCTGAGTGCTTATCTCATTTATTTCCTTCTACAACTCAGCAAATCAGGCATCGCCATCACATTTTACAAATGAGGACGCTGAGGCCCAGAGGCTTGGAGCCCCAGGTCACCGTGCTAGGCAGGGCAGAGGTCAAGCCAGGACTTTCCAGTCCAGGCCTGGCCCCACCAGTCTTCTGGAGAGCAACACCATTTCCTTTCTTTCTTTTTAAAGGGTGAGGAGTGCTGCACTTACCTTCTAGGGTCTCGCACTGGGCAAGGTTGATGTAGTCCTGTTGGGTCAGGAGGCTGGCTTTGCATCCTCGAACCAGGCCCTCCAGGTAGCCATGGTCCACATTGAAGTACAGCTCTGCGCTCTCAAGCATCGGGGAAGCGATTGCAGCTGATTTAAGCTGGAACAGCTTTGTAGTTCTGTCAGCTTCTGAAGACTTAGGCTGGTCTGGGAAAAAGGGTAGCAGTTCTCAGGTGGCCAACGCAATCTACCAGCTGATAGTTTTTGTGACTAGTTTCCTCCGGTTTCAGGGACTTTCAACACAGAGTGCTCAGCCTTGTTTTTATAGCAACAGTGAATCAGTCAGATGATTCAAGTAAATCCAGGAAAAAAGCCACAGTTGGGAATAAGAGACACAGAGACACAAGAGCCAGAGCACTCAGGCTCGACTCTCACCCTCCTGTAGGCTGCCTCTATCCAGCTTCTCCACTGAGAGGTTTCAAACCGCCTGAATGTTTTGTAAATACTCCGACCTCCACCTGAGCTTTCAATTATAAATCATACTTGTCCTAAACTCCTGGAGGACTGTTGTGAGAACATAGAGAGGATCTTTAACTTTTAACTAAGCCATTTAACTTATATGAGTAAATTAAATGTGATCAAGCGATTTGAAAAATCTTAAGCTAATTCTACAGAACACAGAATTCTGTAAAATGAATGATTAAAAATGGGCAGGGCGATGAGGAGCGTGCACATCTGTGCTGTGGGGCACGCCTGTCATCCCGGAGCTTGGAGAGGTTGGGGTGGGAGGATCTGTTGAGGCCAGGAGACCAGCTACAAAAACAAAAACAGAAACTAGAAATGTCTTGAACTTGCCGAAGGCTGGTGGGTGTTTCCTACCTAGTCTAGGGACATAGGTCAGAATACAATTCTGGAAGCACATACTCGATGCTATGATTCCATCATAATGTTACCTTTGCAAAATTATTTGTGAGGTACTCTTTATTTTCTTTTTCATTTGAATATCACGATTACTCTGAGACACGATTCTACAGAGATAGTATTATTACTCAAATCACAGATAAGGGGGCAGCTCAGAAGCTGTGAGGCAGCTCAGAGTACACAGCCGGCCGTACAGTGAGTATAATGTTTAATGAAGCCAGGACTTGTTAAGTTTAGTGCTAAAAAAAAAAAAAAAAGAGTGCTTGTTCTCCCGTACACTGTAGAGGCTCAAAAATTGTGTCAAGTATCCCGAATGCTATTTGCATATATAATGTTACATATGAGTTGTGTCCGATCCTTCGTTGGAGTTAAAGTGCTGGAAATTCTTCAGTCTCTGTCTTGGTATTTCCAAACTGTCCAAGAGAAGCTGTAGCAGCCCGTATAGCCTATGGCTAGGAGGCGTGAGAGTTATAAGAAATACCTGTAGCAGAACACCTTGGTGAACAGGGCATGGAGAGAGACTTAGTTCTAACAAGCATGAGAGAGCTCGCGAGACAAGAGCAGTGGTGAATTGGCAGTCTCTACACCTGTGGTGTTGAGAGGCACCAGCGCAGCCTTAAATTAGGCTGGAGGAGCAGGCGGTTGGGAGCATGCGCAGTCTGTCACGGACGCTGGCTCTGACTCCTCTCCTGCCTGCAGGAAGCCAGCACGGCGTCTCTCTGCTGAAGATTACCAAGCTCTGCTAAAGACTAAGCTCTATCTGTTCTAAGAAGACTGCTTTACTCTAAGACTCTCTCGCTCTCTCCAGCTAAAGTAGAAGCCCTCAAGCACCTAAGGGAAACTGTTCCTGAGCAAGGTAGCTTAGCCATCTGCATCCAGAACCTGCCTAAGCTGGGCCAGAGACCTGGCCAGTCCTGGGCCCTGACAAGTGGTGTCAGAAACAGATCTTGACAAGAAGCTAGATAAAATCTGATCCTGGTATAAATTCTACTTTAATTGTAGAAAATCACAGAGAATCAAACTTAGCTTTACACAGTGCCCAGACGTTGAAAGCATTAGATAAATAGTCGAGGCTCTTAATACTAGGATGTTATTATCTGCTTCTCCCCTGACAATCCCACCATCCTTAGTCACCCTGAGAATGTTTTATGTGAATCGTGGGCATTTGTTACTTTTCTTTTTTGAAATTAAGTCATAGCTGTGTACATTAATGCAGTCATGGGATGCTATATGCTGGTTTTATATATAACTTGAAATATTTTCATCAAACTGGTTAACATAGCCTTCATGGCATTTTCTTAGTTATTGTGTTAAGACATTCATATTCTACATTGAGTAAGTTTCACATGTACCCTTGTAAGATGCAGCGTCCGTGTGGTCCCACCAATTACTCTCCCTCCACCCGTTCTCCTCCTCCTCCCCCCCCCCTTTTCTTGAGACAGAGTCTCAAGCTGTCACTCTGGGTAGAGTGCCATGACATCATAGCTCACAGCAACCTCCAACTCTTGGGCTCAAGTGATCCTCTTGCCTCAGCTTCTCTATTTTTACTAGAGATGGGGTCTTGATTTTTGTTCAGGCTGATCTTGAACTTGTGAGCTCAAGCAATCTACCTGCCTTGGCCACACTGAGTGCTAGGATTACAGGCATGAGCCACCATGCTCGGCCTACTTATTACTTTTGTAGGCCTGAAGATAGTTGCATATCAGTAATTTTCTATAGTTTAAGCAAATACAAACTTATAGTTAAATTATAAGAACAAACTTATCTTTTCCTACTTATTTCATTATGCTTTACTATGATTTATGCAGTTAAAGTTCCGTCTATTGTATCTGTAACATAGATAATTCTGCCAAGTGGTATGCTCTCATGAATCTCTTCTCAATTCCAAGTTTAATGACATCCTAATGTAGCTTCACCCATGAAAACTGGCAAACGCTACAAATCAGGGGCTTATTGTATTGTTTGATTGTCCAATCTTAAAGTGACAGAGAAAATGTAAAGAAAACTAAAGTATGTGATGTTCATAGTCATTACATCATGAATTGCTAAGTATTTGAAAAAATTTTTTTTTTTTTTTTGGAGACAGAGCCTCAAGCTATCCCCCTGGGTAGAGTGCCGTGGCATCACGCTCACAGCAACCTCCAACTCCTGGGCTCAAGCGAGT